TAGCAGCAAAAGCAGCAGCTCGTGCAGAGGTAAAACTGAGCACGAGTGATGGGGTAGAGCCAAGCACCAAAGTAGGGAGAACAGGAAGAGGAGGGCAGATGTGGTCAGGGGTTGTAAACACAGCTTAGAAAGTAAGCTTCAGGATTTTATTCAAAACTATCTGATCTACATTGAAAAACATCGCTGTGAGCACTGCATGGGAAATGGTCTGGAAGGAGCTAGGGGAAGGGACCAGGCAGCACCGTATGTGAGGCCTGGCTAGAGAGTGAGTAAATCCTTAGCGAGTTGCGCCAAATGTGCAGTCCACAGGAGGACACAGCAAGGGGCACCAGGATCAACAGGGCAGACACAGCCTCTGCCGCCAGGACCCTTCTTTCTGAGAAGTGACACCAAGATCCAACAATATTTGTAGGTGTAGACAACAGCCCGAGGTGGTGGGCACAGAGGCTTCCAAGGCAGCTGCTTTGCATTCCCTGATTTGCATGCCCTATTCTCCCCATTACTCGCTGTCTCACTTCCTCTCTTTGTGTCTCTTCCTCTTCTTTTCACTCTTTTGGCCTCCTCCTCTTTCTTCTCTCCCTTCTCTCTTTTAACAGATTTCTTCCTCTGAAATAGTTGGTGAGAGAATTGAATCACATCATTTTTGAAAAGGGCTTAGCACTGGTATAAAAAAATGGTATTCGATTTATATTAGGGAAAGAAAAGAAACAGCATCCTGCCTTTCCTATTCCTTTCTTGTGCTCCTGCTGACCTTCCAGCAAACATTTGGGTTTTAGATCCTTGCCCCTATGCTGAGGGGACCAACTGGGCTTGTAACTCTCTGCATGTGCTTGGCCAGAATTCTGAGCTGCCAAGTAATGTAAATCATCTGTTTGTGCACTTTTGGGTTTGTTGTTTTTCCAAAGTTTTGCTGGGTGTGGTGATACATGCCTAAAATTCCAACAGTTGGGAGGCTGAGGCAGAAGGATTGCTTCAAATTCAAGGCCAGCCTGAACCCTATGGTGAGGCTCTGTATAAAAAAGGCAAAAAAGAAAGGAAGGAAGGAAGGAAGGAAGGAAGAAAGAAAGAAAGAAAAGATTGACTTCTTTTTCTCCCTCCCTTCTTACCACAGAATTTGCAATATGTTAGAAATTACAGGTGGAGGGACCCATTTATTTAATGGGTATAAAATTATTATGGTTAAGTTTATTGTTTTTGACCACAACTCTATGGGGACATTAATAAATGTGACTGCTTTTGCTAAAATAGTCTTTATCCCTGTGGCTTTGTACCCTGATAATGCAACATGCTGCTCCACTGACTTCTAATGAACTTAGCCCACTGAGTAGCAGAAATGTAAAGAAAATAACTTTATAAATACATAATGTTGTGCGGACTGAAGTAGTTTTAAAGTCATATGGTGTCAGAACATGTAAAAGGTGCACTTAAAGGTAGTTTTGTCTTTCTTTTCTAATACGCCTTTCTCTGTAGATGTCTTTAAAATTTCACAGAAATCTAAGGTAAGGTTGCTATGGACTGAATCGTGTCCCTCCTGAAAATCGTCTGATGAAGCCTCCATCACTCATGTGGCTATGTCTGGAGATGAGGCCTATGAGGTGGTGGGAGAGTGGGTCCTAATGCAGCTCAACTGTGCCTTTGTAAGGAGGAAAAGTGGTGTCACATCCCCACCATACTACTGAGAAGGCAGCTGTCCGCAAGCGAGGAGAACCCTCACAGAAAAGATCCTGTGACACCTTGATGGGGGCTTTGAGCCTCAGGAGCTGAGAAAATAAAATTATGAGGTTTAAGCCATCCAGGCTATGATATTTTGTTATGGCAACTGAAGCCCACTAATACACTAGAGGTCTTAAATCTTAAGACAATATGATTTGTTCCTAACTACTAGGCTTTTTAAAGGCTTTACTCAGGGCTGGCAAGAGTGAGGTTATGAGTTTGATCCCACTACCAAGAAAAAAAAAGCTTTATTCAGCCTCAAGGTCTTAATTAAGATGATTTCTTTTAGTAGCTGAGGATTTATCCAGGACTATGTCTGGTAGCCAGAGGTGCTCTGTTGGCTCACCGGGGTGCAGCCCTGACGGGTGTGCTCTGGTCCTCAGCTCCTCCCTCTGTCTGCTTCCTGGGTGCCCTGGGATAAGTAGCTGCTCCCCTTCCTTTCACCATGCAGTTTCTGCCTCGGAGCCAGGTGACTGTTCTGGACCCACTGGAAACCAGGCCAAGTAGATCCCTCTAAGCTGTGGGTGTCGGCAACAGGGAAATAACTGACTCTTTGGGTAAATAGCTCAAAATTGATGATAGTAATTATGATACTTGTAATTAAAGTGCCTTGCTGATTCAGGTCATGTCCACAGTTGGAAAGTGAAATAATGCTATTTACAAAATAATCAGCCTGGGTTTCCATTGAAGGACTGCGTATTATCTAGGTGTCATGGTTTATGTTTGTGTCCCCCAGGCCTCATGAGTTTGCATTGTTCGTATGTGATGGTTCATTGTCTAGTGCTTGGATTGATGGTGTCAGTGCTCCACCCACATAGGGGTGGAGCCAGGATGTGATGTAATGGCAGGAAGAAGGTGTGTCTTTCTCTTTGCTGGTTTGAGCTTGCTGTTTGCAGCCACCATGAACGGTGGTCCAGCCATGCCCGCCTGTCTTGGAGCCAACTGAGTGTGGACTGAAACCTCCAAAAACTGTAAGAAATAAACCTTTCCTTTCCCAACTTGGACATCAGGTATTTTGTCTCAGCGACGATCATAAAGTAACTAAGACACTAGGTGTCAAATCAAATGCTCTCTTTTATCCAGATGCTAATCCTTGTGTACACCTTCTCATACCTTCATCTCTGCTCATAGATCATTTATAAATCAATACATGCACTTGCAGAGCTGTCTTTTCTTCTGCTTCTTATTTAACAACATAATATTGAAGGATTCTCATTCAAGAAAGCAGGCTAAAGGCACCCTTGCTTTCTGCCATTCCAGAAATCATCATATTTTTAAAGGGAGATAAAATTTAAAAACTGAAGAGAACAGAAGAAGTCACTAGCAGACAATGTTTCTGGAAAGCAACCAGATAAACAGAGAAAACAAAAACTCAGAACACCCCAGAAAGAACACAGATAAGGGTGAGTGCATGCTCACATTTGACAAGAACATTACACCCAAATGGATTAGAATGGCACATTAATTCATTTTCTACTGCTACAGTATAATACCTAAATAACTTAGAAAGAAAAGAGGTTTATTTAGCTCACAGCTTTACAGACAGCAAGTCCAGGTTTGGGTGGCCTCACCGGGTCAATCTCTGATGACACTTCCCCCAAATGTGGGCCTCATCATCACAAAATGGTGGATCGTGGTGGATGGGACGTGTGTGAACAGGAGGAATCATATGGTGAGATTGGAAGTCAGAGACCCACTGGAGAATCCAGCTCCTCTTTTGTAAGAATTCTTACAGAATCTGACTGGAGTTCCACAGAACTACTTCAACCTTTCAAAGAGAGTGTCCCCAGGCACCTAAAGCTTCCTGTTAGGCCCACCTTTTAAAAGTCCAATGCCTCTCAAAACAACCACACTGCAGACCAAGCCTCCAACACACCAACCCTTGGGGGACAAACCACATTGGAACCACAGCACAAATGTAAGTGTTCAACAAATGTTCGCTATTATATCATCACTCTGGAACTTGTATTTGTCACTCCAGGTCAGTTTCACGTACCTGTAATTTATTCCTTGTGGGACTATATAATATTCCATAACTTCTTCATCCACTTTCTTTCTTTTTTTTTTTTTTTTTTTTTTTTTTTTTTTTGTCTTTTTCCTTTTTATTGGTCCCGGGGATCGACAGGCGCTTATGCCGCTGAGCTAAATCCCCAGCCCCTTCATCCACTTTCTTTTCATTTTTTTATCCATTTTAAAAAAAAAACTTGCAGATTATTTTCATTTTGGTCTCCCTTTCTCCCACAAAGGGTATGGCTTACAGAAGAAAAAGATTCAATAAATTTCCTTATACATATATGTCATTAATCTAGAGGCTGGATTTTTCAAAAGTGGGACTGCTGGGTCAAAAAGGTGTGTTCAAGTATGATTTTTTAATTGATTTACCAACTGATTTAGCTTCCTCCTAAGGACTGCCACAGGCCACACTCTCACCAGCAGGGCTGAGAACTGCCTGCTTTCCTACTCTCCAGCTGGTGCTGGATGTTACCAAGCTTACAGATTGATACATTTTAAATTTTTGTCAGTATGATGGATTTTTTAAAGATAGCTTATTACTGTTATAATTTGCATTTCCCTGACCTATTGTAGGTAAGTATCTTTTTACATTTATTAGCTATTTGAAGTTCATTTGCGAAGTGAGCATTCACTTCCATTTGGCATGTTTCTTTCTCTTTCTTTTTCTTTTCAGATTGCAAGCATTTTTCTTTCTTTTTTTTTTATTTAAGGAGAAAAACAAAAAAAAACAGAAGGGTACAAGTAATTCAAAGTTTAAAAAATAAACAGTAAGAAATCACTAGTTAATAGATTACATATTCTCATCTTAGAAGTAGTTGTTCAAGTTACAAAATTGAAGCATATAAAGTGGACTTTCACACAGTGAGATTGCAAACAGTTTTGTTCAATGATCCAAAAAACTCAGTAATATGTCATCTATCTTATACACTTAAACATATATGCAGTTATAACCTTTAGAGCACTTTCTTTTCTTTTCTTTTGTACAATGACAATTACACATTTTGGGTTTTATTATTCCCACAGTTCTTATTACTCTTTTTGAAGAGAGTAAAACCAAATGCGACATATCAGGACAGAGTCAGTCAAATCAAAAGGATGGACATTATGATAATGTAAAAACAAAATACAAGGTGATCAACAATGGTTACCATACTGCCTCTTGCTATTTTAAGAAGAATTGCCAGTTATAATAAAATTGAACAAAACAGTAGAGAATAAAACCAAAGCATTGGAGACATTACAGGACTTTAAAAGAAGACAATAGTCGACCAGAATGGGCGTCATATTGAATTTTATTGTCTTCACAGTTGTTGCCTATACTTTCAAACTTGGTACTATCAAGCAAAGCAGGATAGGGGAAAATCAGTCAAAATAAAATGGTGAGGGCAATACAGGATTTCAAATCAAGTTAATAGGAAATCAAAGTAGGTTACTATAATATATCCTGCTATTTTTTATTTTCCCTTAATTAAAAAGATAAAATAAAAAAGTAAATAATTTTTTAAAAAGGGGGGATTAGATAAAAGAGGGCATAACAACAGAACAGCGCAGGTCAAAACATAACCATTTAAGCAAAATAGTGTTTCACCACAAGATAGCCTGACATAAAAATAGTTACCACAGTGTCTCTTTCCTTGAAATCTTTGAGTATAACTTCGTATACTATAGCACCAAACATATCAAGACACTAAAAACCATTCAAGAGAATGACATTATTACAGGGTATTTAGAACCAATTAACAGAAAATGAACAATAGTTTCTGTATAATCTCCTTGTCTATAAAAGTTTTTGCTTATATTATCATATATAGTAAACTCCAGTAAGATACAACCTTTTAAGACCGATGGAGGCAGAAGAATACAAGTTTTTTTTTTACTAATTTTTTTTTGGTCTTTTTCATTTTTATCAGTACCAGGGATCGAATTCACGACTGCCTGCTTGCAAGGCAGGCACTTATGCTGCTGAGCTAAATCCCCAGCCCAAGAATACAAGTTTGATGGGACTTCAAAACAAGATGATACTAAATCAGCACTAGCTATTATGATGTCTTGTTTTCTCCAAAATAGCTGTTCCTACCATCTAACCTTCTCTGCCTCATTTCTGTTGAGCTCTTTTTCTGTTGTTTATTGTCAGTTTGTCTTCATTTCGCTTTCTGCTCCATTCATTGTGGCCTCTCTGCCACTATTTCTGGAATCTTGGTATTTTCCTTTTTAGAATATCCTGCAGTATTCTCTGTAGAGTTGAATTGCTGGTTGCAAATTCCTCTAGTTCCTCTTTATCCTGGAAGCACCTTGTTTTTCCATCAATTTTTAGGGACTGTTGTTCAGGATATACCAATCTTGGCTGGAAGTTATTATCTTTCAAAGCTTGAATTATTTCCTCCCACACTCTTCATGATTTGATGGTTTGTGCCGAGAAGTCTGCTGTAATTCTGATGGGTGTTCCCTTGTAAGTGATCTGTTTCTTGTCTCTGATGGCTTGTAGTATTCTGTTCTTATATTGGATTTCTGGAATTTTGATTATTGTATGCCTGGGTGTAGCTCTGTTTGGGTTGTAGGTGGCTGGGGTCCTATATGCCTCATACCTCTGAGTATCTTTACCATTTGCTAAATTAGGGAAATTCTCTTGGATTATTTCTGTGAATAGCTTTTGTAGTCCATTTGTTTGTGTCCCTACTTCTTCTTTTATGTTCTTAATTCTTAAGTTATGGGTCTTCTTATCATCTTCTAGCCTTTGTATTATTGCTGTTTGTTTTTTTGTTATTTTTAAGAAGTTTTTCATTTCATGCTTCCATATTACAAATCTGCCCTCCAACTCAGATAATCTATCCTTAATTTCTTTCAAGCTGTTATGCCAGTTTTTGATAGAGTTTTTAGTTTCCTGGTAATCTCTTTGAACCTGCTTCACATATTCTATGTTTTCTCTATTTTCTCCATCAAACAATTGTTCCCTTTTTTTCTGTTCTTCCATTTCACCATCTGTTTTTTCTTGGGTGGTGCTTAGCATTTCTCTAACTATTCTACTTATATCTTGCTTCAGGTCATTAATAACTTCATTCCTGAACTCGTCTATGAGGCTCTGGAGATAGCGCTTTATGTCTATTGGTGCCGTGTCTGATATTGCGTGTTTCTCAGGATTGGGCCGAGGACCCTTTCTTGTTGCTCCCTCTTCCCATATTTTTTGTTCCTTTTATACAAGCATATATAGGAGGCCCAGTTTCTTTCTTTGTCGGTTACAGTTTGTTGAATTGCGCCGGCTAGGTGTTCCTGCCCACTGCAGTGTACTATGGAAACACAGACCTGGGTAGCCTATGCTGGGCCCACCCCTCCAGGTCAACGTACCGAAGGCTTCACGCTAGGGTGCACCTCCAGGCAGTGGGACATGGTTTGGGCTAGCTTACTTGGCCTTAGTCAGCGGCGTCACCCAAGCCAGGCACTCCCCACCAATCCCGCTTGAGAGGGGAATATGTGACTGAAGTCACTGTAGTGCCCTGTGCCAGCTAGTCTGCCTGGTCCCATTATGTCCTTTTCTGAAGCCTCCTACTCTATGGAAGGGTCCCCGATCTGTTCACTCACCACAGGTTAATGCAGGGCTCCCGGCCAGTCCCGCTCTCAACTCCATTCACCACTTCCCACTCTCAGAGCTTTTGCGCCTCTCTCCTTGCCATGCTGATTGGGATGCAGCAGCGGCTGCAGGAAATTCAAATGGCGGCTTCCAGTAGTGCGGGGTCTGGCTTACTCGCTGAGACCTTATCTGTTCCTGTTATATCACCGGGATTACGTTTCCAGTTCGTTTCTCTTAACTTAGTTCGTTCCTGGGTTGGCAAAGTACATCTCTCCTTGCTTAGGACTTCTCACCCGGCACCATTCCTGGATTTTAAGTGGGGTATCTCAGAGAGCCTCCAAAGCTGCTGCTATCTATCCGCCATGTTCTCCCAGAACTCACATTTTTCATATTTTAAAGACATTAACTTTTGGGGGCTGGGGATTTAGTTCAGTGGCATAAGCACCTGCCTTGCAAGCAGGCAGTCATGAGCTCGATCCCTGGTACCGATAAAAATGAAAAAGACAAAAAAAAAAAAAAAGACATTAACTTTTTTGTGTGTCTTCTATAGTCTTTATACTTTTCAGGCTTTTCTTTTATGGCTGTTTCTTGTCTTGCTGCGTCTTTCAGGTCTAGCCAGATTGAGATTATACAAAAACCTTTCTATATTTTCTTCTGTTATTTTCATTATTTTATGCTTTAAATTTAGGTTTCCAGTCCATTTGGGATCTGCTTTTCTGTAATGTGAAGAAATAATAAGGTAAGTATCAATGCTGGATAGATTTACTGAACAGTTTCTATATGCCAGGCGCTCTGTTAAACACTTTATGCCCTTCAAATAGATAAGAAAATTAATGATTAGAGAACTTAAGGAACCAACCAAATTCACATAGTCACTAATATACAAAACTGAGATTTTAAATCCAGGCGCACACGTGCGCGCGCGCACACACACACACACACACACACACACAGGTGTAACTAGAGATACATCATTTACCATTTAATTGAAACAGGAATTTTATAATCCAAGTCCTCAAATAGTGTCACTGTTTCTGTTCATATAGTTGCAGTTTTGTCACATTTACACTGTTTCTGTTTTAGCAGTTTCATAATGAGTTTTGTTCTCTCTCTAGTAAGGCAAGTGCCCCCTCACTACTTTTCCAAACCTACCCAATAAACTTTTGCACTTTTTTATTCCATGTAAACATTTAAATCATTAGTCCAGTTCCCAAGAAAATACATCTGCATATTTTGATTTTAATTGCATTGTGTTTATTAATTTAATAACTAGCACTTATATATTAATCTCTATGCATTAATATGTTGTAGTGTTCCATTTATTTAGATTGTTCAGTAAAATGCTATAGTTTTATTTTACTATGATTCTTGTAGTCTTTTTTCCAGTAATAGGGATCAAACCCAGCTCTTATCACTGAGCTACATTCCCACCCCTTAATTTTTTCAAATTTTGACATGGGATCTTGTTAAATTGCCTAAGATGGCCTCAAACTTGTGATCCGTCAACCTCAGTCACCATGCTTAACTGATTCTCATACTTATGAGTTTTTTGAGTTATTTTATAATTTTGGAAATAGAAAATTTTCCCTATATCTTACAGTAAATTACAGAAGAAAAGCTAATGAGCATATATATCTTGTATTCAGCAACAGAGCTAAAATCTCTCACCCACTGGAGCTTGAATCTAGGACCTCCATATTGAGCTATATCCCATCCCTTTTTCTGTCTTTTTATTTTGAGATTAGATCTCCTAAGTCTCTAAGTTGCAAAGGCTGAGTTTAAATTTGCAGTTCTCCTGCTTCAGCCTTCCAATGTTTTTTCTTGTTGGTTTTATTTTGTTTGTGGTGCTAGAGTCTTTATTTTTTTCATAGAGTCTTCTGCATTTTCTAGATATACATTACTGCAAAAAGTTTATCTTTTTTTCAGTGTTTATACCATTTGCTAAATTTATGGACAGAGTGTCTTATTAAGTTAGTTAAAAGTATTAATAGTACTGATACTAATAAGTGTGGATATCCCAGCTACGTTCTTGATTATAATGACAGTAACCTTGATTTTTCCTTAATATTATGTTATTATATTTATCAAGTTTAAGTAGTCTCTATTTCTATTATACTTGAAATTTTTTATTAGAAAGTCTACTTAACTTTATTAATTTTTAATATAATGCCATATGTACATAATTTTTACTTTTAAATTGATAATGTTCCTAGTGTGATATATTTCCTAATACTATAAATTGTTAAAATTCTGGAATAAGTAGCATGTGGTCATTTCTACTTATCTCAAACCACTCAAGATCTTACAAAAAGAAAGTTCTTTAAAAAATAAATAAATAAAAGAAAATTCTTTAGCTTACTGTATGATTTTATCATATGCTTAATACCAAAGCATAATACAAAGCATATAACACAAACTGCTAGAACAGTGCTACTTATGAAAAATAGATGTAAAAGAATCTAAATAAAACAAATCAGCAAATTAAACCCAGTGGTGTGTTAAAAGCAAGATAGCAGCTGGGTGTGGTGGTGCATGCCTGTAATTCTGGCACTTTGAGAGGATAAGGTAGGAGGATCCCAAATTCAGCCCAGCATGGGGCAGGCAATTTAGCAACTTGGCAAGAGAACTTGCCTCAAAATAAAAATAAGAAAAGGCTGGGGACATATCTCAGTGTGAAGGCCCTGGGTTCAATCCTTGGTGGGAAAAAGAGAAGAGAATATACAGCAATTCAACACTCCCCACCCCCAAAAAAGGCAAAAGAAAGAAAAACATTAATGTAAAGGATTTGAAAAACTGGCTAAATGCATGATATATACATAAAAATCAGTAGCTATTCATTTATTTTATAACAAATTTTGGAAGAAAACTAGCTTACAGTGTTATTTGAGAAGTTGCGAAACACAATCTTGAAAATGGAAAGTCGACATGGGCGGAGCACTGTGTGTTGTCTAATGATTAATTCATGCCAGACCACTTAAAGATAGAGCTCAGGGTGCCTTGCTGACTCCTCATTTCTTCCCACCCTCATCCAAGATAAGTGCACCAATCAAATTCAAAACTACCCTGTAGTTTCCCAAAACAGTACTGATTAAGTTTGATTTCACAAAAGGATTCCTAGAATTTGATTGACACTCACTTTAACGGTCTGTTAAATATTAGGTTGTCATTGTTAACTATTTTTAAAACTATACAGGTAGCTTGGATAGCAAGTTACCTGAAAAAAAAAAAAAACCCACCAGATTATCTCATTTACTGGAAGCAGAGCACTTGCTTTCATTGATAAAATTTCAACAACACGTTTTGCAAAGGATGTGCTGTGCCAGATGCTGGGGACAGAGTGGGAGCACACAGGACAGTTTCCTGCCCTTATAGGCCAGTGGGCTTCTGGCAATACAGCACAAAGATTATGACTAACTTCACTGCCTTCCTTTACACCTACAAAATGAAATGCACTTGGTGAATGAAGAACTGGTTATCTCCATGTCTAGTGGAAAGAAACATCTTTCTTTAATCACAAAAAAGAGCTAATAATGACATACCCAATAACTGCAGACGTTACACACAGAAACTTGCTTTTTCTGTTCTGTGTCCTGCTCCCCTCTACTGTACAAGGCACACATTTCTAAGGAGAGTGTGAAACCACATCCTTTCTTGGCCTTTCTGGCTGAGGTTAGCCTGGGGCCGAGCCCAGCATGACTCAGCAGACCCTGCTGTGTCAAGGATGACCTTGCTACAGCCTTGATGTGCACACTGATATGTGGACCCAGGTCCAGGCCAGAGCTGCATACAAGTCTGGTGCCTGTGTTACATGGAATATAAGGCTTACATGGTGTTTTAGGTTTACAGGCCAGAGAAGAGAAATATCTCAGCTTTTTGTTTTTTGTTTTTCCAAAAAGAAATTAAAATCAAATCAGGAGTCACTATGCTGTACATAATTTTGACCTCCTAATTCAGCTCCGAGGAATTTATAGCAAGGAAAAAGCTAAAAGAAAAAAATGTCCAACGATACTTTCAGAACAGATCAATTGATAATCATGATAAAGCCTTAGCATTTCAAACACTTCCAACAGAGTGATTCAATGAAGCATCGAAGAGGTATTTCAAATGGAGAGGGTATGCGCTATGTTTTTTTAATGAAAATATCTACATTAAAAATAGAACATAAGATGGAATTCACACATAAATTATATGAAACATCTCTAGGTATTAGTATACCTAGGATAAGAATAAGATTTACAATAAACCAATGATTTAAAGTGTAGTTTTTTCCCCTCCTAGAAATGCTTTACTTAAAAATAAACACCCCTTTATGCAAATTAGAACAAATGGCAATTGACATTTCAATGTACTAGAGCTATTCTTGCCAGACTTAAAAGGGAAGAGCAGACACAGCCCACATGTTGGGACTCATCAGTCTGCCCTCAACTCCAGCTTTTGTAGGTCCTGAGAATGGGACCAGGCTCTGTGGCCCCATCACCCCTTTATGCAAAATCACCGCCTATTAGTCACACTGACGCTGGCTATGAGACCAATATGATCTTGCCTCCCTTGGATTTCTGGTTGCTGGGCTCCGTCCCTCTTCAGCACATCTAGATGGGGTTTCCTGAGAAAGGTCTCCCTCACCATCTTTCTGTGGCTAGCACTATTTTTACATCAATCTTTACAACACCCTTGCAGGAAGGCGGTGTGGTTTGCCTTTGTAGATGAGCAAGGCTAAACAGCTTGCTCAAGGTCACTCAGGTGGTAGGTGACAAAGTCACACTCCAAGCCTGGGCCAGTCTGACTTGAAAGCCACTTTCAGCCATCTCTCACTATGCAGCTTCGGAGTCTCAGTACAAGCACAGGGCTGAGTAAGAGTCAGAAACTCGGTTGACTGACCTTGAGTTTGCTTCTTACTCCTCTGTGCTTTGGTTTCCTTGCTTATAAAGTGGGGCACTGGACTTTAAAAGCTGCCCCATAAGAAGGAATAGAAAGGACTAGAGAAATGGGCAGAAGGGCCCCTATTTCGTGCTAAGACCACTGGTAGGCCATCATAGGCCTCCACATGGTACAATTTAGGCACTCAATCAGTTTTAGGTGAGAAGAGAAGTGCCATGGGGGATCACCATAGTTGAATTGTCCTCAACTGTCTCATAAAAAAATAAGCACAGGACACCTAATACATAGGAGAGAGAATCCCTCCTGACAGCTTCCAACTGAGGAAAGGTGGGTAGAAACATTACTGCTGTCACCTGGTGCAGGATTGGTTAGCAGTAAGGGGCTCTAGGAGCTCTGAATTTGCAAACAGGGACAAAAGGAGGAAATACATACAGATAAATGTAGTTTTTTGTTTGTTTTGTTTTGTTGATTTTTGGTTTTTTCAGTCAGGGCTAAATAATATCATTGCAGCTCTGTTCCCAAAGAAAGCATTAAAAATGCAAATGAGAAGCTTTACAATTGGGTAACTCCCCCCCTTCCCTGCCTTTAAAAAGGGTTAGGCAAATGAGTATGAGTGGTTCTTTTCCCAGGAGCCACCCCCAGTTGCAATCTTCTTGCATTATCAAACACAGATTCATAACCACTGATCTTAAAAATGCAAGAGTATAATTTCCTAAATTTCTTACTGAGTGAGCATATTTGGGTCAAGGGAAATCCAACCTCAGTCAAGCTGGATGCTGTTTAATCTTCGCATCCCACTTGTCACTGACACCAAACTCAAATCTGTCCCCATCTCTCA